CACACCCACAGTATTCTGACCTATTTTCAAATGCCACAACAAAAACTAGGAGAGCACAAGAAGCGAAGGAGGAGATAAAACGACTCCGGAGATAAAGGGAATTAACAGAAATGTGCCATTTGAATCGCAAAACCCGGCTGTCAGCTGCAGGATCGGGTGTTCTGTCTGTGTTTTGGTCTCTGTGCAGTACCGATCCATTACTGCCACTCTGGTAATGGTAATCCGACTCTGACAGACCTTTCATAGCGTATGTGGCTTTTTAGAAGTGAACGCTGAGACCGAGGGCAAAATAACAGATTAACAACCCTAATTTGTCCTGAGGTTTTAATGGCCAAAATTATACGCAATCCTCCCCCTTCTTCTATCAATCTAAGTGTCTCTGCGGTCGGTTTGAATTCACATTTATAGGCAGCCATGTGCTTCCAATTTCTCCTGTGGACTAATAAAGGCCATTTGAGAAAGGGGCATTTTGATTGGGCGATTTTTCTTTTTTCTTTTATGAAAACCTCAGAGCGTGGATGTTTGACAGTTACAAACGCTGCTCTGGCAGGTTCGTGTTTCTTCCAACCAGCCGGCGGGAGGATTGATTCTTTAAACTGACGCAAATGTGGAGAGAGGACACACACACACACACACACAGGGCCATAACCTGGATTCAATAATCCAGACTGCTCTATTAAGATGAGAGGACCAACATACGCTACCACTGTCAGAAAAATTTAATGTAAAAGTACAGTGGCACTGAAAGGTCAACAAACTTTAATCTGCTCCATCACAATGTGGAAACTTTTCAGACAAGACCCTGACTGTTACGTCTCTGCTCTTTATAGAAAATCAGTTGTTTCCGTTTGTTATAGTTCGAGAGTCTGAACTGTAAATACTGCAGCCCGCTGATGGAAATCAGATAAATCACATTCTGAAATCTCACAGCCAAAGTTTTCCTGCCAGATCTCCTCGTTTCTGACTTTGAAGCACAGATGTGCTCGGAGAAAATTCAACACAGCGAACATCGTGTCATCACTGCATTGGCTTTACCTGGGGACCTCAGGTGGTTTATAGATGAGACTTAACATCCTCTTCACAGACAACCAATCACAACCAATCATAAACTAGAAGCAGCGTCTTCTGAGTTTGGACACAAAATGCTAAAATGGACCATTTGCTGGAAACATGAACGCAGTTTATCATCAGGACAGAAAAAGGCGTCGCAATCTTATTATGGAGAAAAAGGAGTGGCTGCATTTTTAAAGGAGGAGAGACACTAAAACTGAACTCATCCAAAGATAAAATACCTTTCCTAAGCCCCGCCCCTTTTGCTCTGTGGTCCAATAACAGTTGTCGTAGTTGTAGCTGTACTTATGCTATGTGCTAGGCTAATCTATGTATAGACATGTCACATCTTAAGCTTAAGCTTAATCTTTATTTTGATGATTATAGCCTCTATAAATATGTTGCTTTTATATTTAATCATCTTCAGAATCTACTTTCCAACATGGACTAGCCTAGCACGTAGCATATCTGAGTGAGCTACAGGAATGTTCTTTTCCTAGGATGGCCAAGGAATAGGGGCGGGTTTATTCCCTATCTATCTGAGGAAAATAGGATAAATGCGAAATAGCAAGAGCAAAAATGGGCGGGACTTAATAATAATTTAATAATGCTTGTAAGCTAATCAGTGGTTTTACACTGTTCACAGGTTAGTTACCTCACTTGTAAGCTAGTAGGCATCTCGTTTAAGGTATCCAGGCATTTATTGTTACAGTAATTTTATTGATTGATGCAGTCTGTTCAACTTGAACAGAACGGAGCCATCATTAATGTTATTAGTATAACCTGTATGTTTCCTACCAAGTTTAAAATGTGTTTGATCAAAAAGGACTTTTGTAGTCTTGTATCTTCTGGCCATCTTTGCATGTTTGCATTAGAAGACACAAGATTAAAAAGAATCTATTCTTAGTGGTAATACCATGCAACAGGAAAACAGACATCAAACAAAGCTCACAAAGCTTTCATAATGAATGAGGCTACAAAAGCAGCTTTCAAACTGCAGCGAAAGGACATCAGTGGCTGTATCAAACACAAGAAACACAATCAAACATCCCTGCTGTTCTTTGGGAAACTGAGCAGAGATCATTTGAAGTATGATTTGTGGTTAATGGTGTGAAACATGTAAAAACAGTGCGCGGGTCCTTTGAAGGATTCTTTGCAGCTCTGCAACGTATCGACTGTAATTCAAACACACAACGTCAGCAGGCTCAGCCATGTTTTCCTCATCCCTCCATACAAAGCCGGTGTTTAGGTTGCCTCCCAGTCTGCAGTCTGTACCATATGTCTGCATATAGCGTGACTCATCCCTTCATCCCTCCGTGGGATAGTCAGAGGAAAACTTCAAAGGAAATCCGCCCGCGCACTAAAACGCAGCCAATCAGACGAGAGTTCAGCTCTCGGCTTCTGCTCGTTTGGCTTCAGAGGAAATATCTGAAAACACAAAGCCTCATCGTCAAAGCTTCTGTACCAGTTGTTGCAGTCTACCCACTTAAAGCGGGCATCCACGAATGAATCATCTCTACAGTGGAATATCATACAGTTACACTGGCTGGAGATTTACTCTCCACAGTTCAATAACTATTACATCATCACACCTGTAAAAGTCACAGTCAGGTTCAAATCGTGCAAAAGCAGCACAGTTGCAAATGATTTCTGTTACATCTCACTGTGCAGGAAGAACTCCAGCTTCATATACACTCCTCTGTCTGCAGGCTAATTTATGCATTTGACCTATTTTTGACTAACATGTCAGAACGTTATGATTCAAAGGTCATACTTTACTATAATTGTCTCCTGTATTTATGTCCTCTGGTTGTTTTACTCTTTATCTAGACATTAGGCCAGGCATCAAAAGAGACTTTTCTTACAGAGGTATCAACAAACTGCAAATGCCCCAACACAAGCATCTGTTCACTGATCACTGCAGACACACGAGGAAGAGGAGAGAAGTTCTTGCCCGTTGGAGAGCATCACATCTTTGAGCCAACGTCCACACAAAGCGGGTTTAGTGAACACTCTGAGTTTGTGCACCCCGAGATGAAAGAGAGGTAGCTAACTTACAGTAAACGCTGATCCAGTTACCATGGAAACAGATTCTGTCCTCATTAGTGGAGGTTGACCGTTAGAGGTTAGAGATTAGTTCGTTACACTGGACCATCTATCTTTCCTTTGTACAGCTCTTTGTTAAGTGCTATGTAAATAAAGTGTATTATTATTATATAAAGAGCCAGAGATCAGGCCGATCTGCAGCAGTACAACAAGACCCTGCTTGGCCCCGATTAGACTTGATATTATTTAGAGCTGGCCAAACTTGAGATCCTGGATCAGGTCTTGGTTATTAGAGACCGAGTATACCCTTAAAGACGTGTAGTTGTAGAGTTAAAGTGATGTAAAATGAGCGTGTGATGCAAAGCCTTTTATATCTCTTCCTTCTATAAATTACCTCCTGTTTAAGAAGTCAAAATGGCCTCCAGGTGAAGAAAGACAAGTCTGCTTTATCTGTCTCACGATCAATCAGACGTCGTGCTCCACAGGAAGTGGACTTGATCCGGTTCTGCTGGAGTTTCAGATTTCACATAATTTGACCTTTTTCCCCAAACTCTCCACATTAATTCAACATTACTACGACCAGCACCCCCCCTCCACCCTCTATAAGTCTGTCCTTCACTGAAAGGGGAATGGGGTAATTACAGCGAGCACCTCCAGAGTTATATCAGACCCATAATGCACCTGGCACAGATCCCAGAATCCATTACTCTGGCACAGAACCAGAGGAAAACTACACCTCCCATCTTCTCCGTTCAGAATCATGCAGAATTTCACTTTATCTGTGTGGCTCCTCATATAAAATGCTTGATTCCAACTTCTAAAAATATCTCTGTATATGTGAGCTTCATCTATTTATTCATATATCCCTTTTTTTATGTCGGATTCTGTCTTTGAGTGACTCTCGGCCAGCTGTACAGACAGCAGTATGGAAGAAAAACAATGTTTGACAAGTGTTTTTATACATTTTGGTTATTTCTATTGTACACTAAGACAACAAAACTGCAGAAAAATGCTTAATCATTCTCTTTTTTTCTACTTTTTAAAGGCTGTTAGGAAACAACTTAATGGTCCAATTATAGCCATAATGTAGTGCAGCCACATGAGCAGCAGGGTAAACCTTTCCAATAACACAACACAGATGTCATCATTGACATCTCTCTCTGTTTCTGACGACAGTAATGTTATCATAACATTACATAAAGTAACTAAAGGAAACAGTAATCCTTGGCCTTCAAAATAAAGTCACAATCTCTTAATGCAGTGATAGTAACAACTTGAAGAGACGTCCTGGATTCAAAAAGCATCATTTCCATCTATTTCAGGAAGATTTCATCTCTAAAGTTGCTGTTGGTTGAAATCAGAATCAGAAATTTGTTAAACTGAATCCGTAGATTAATATAGATCGTTCTTAATGCGGAGCTCTTCAGCTGTAAAAAACATATTTTAATACAGATGTGCACTGTGCTGCTGTATTTATGTGAGAAATATATGTCAGATATTTGGTCTTGGCAGACATTGATTTTTAATGATCTGGATCAGGACCAGGGGCAAAGTGTAAAAAACTGCAGTTGCAACATCCTTATTATCCATGTGAGTGTGTATACGATGAGACAAACAGTGTTACAGCGTGTATGAGAGAGACAATAACAAGGACTGTGGAGCAAACTCTTTGACTCATGTAGAGGTTTCAGTTGCCACATCATCTTCTCAAACACACCTACATAGTCATTACCACAGAGCCGAGACAAGCCTGGACACCTCTGGCACACAGCGCTACGTTAACGCTAGCGGAGCCTCGTCTCTCCTGCTCTTTTTCCAGAGACACTTTATATTTAGCCGGCTCTCATTCTCACCACAACTGCAGCATCAAACTTTTATCATACAGCTTGGATGAGAGCACTTACCTGTTCAAACTCTCTGAGGCTGTGCATCTGTACCGGTGGACCTTTGTCTGTCTCATCACATGAGTAATCTGCACAGAGAGTAACAAGATGTAAATAAATTAAATCAAACATATCTTTAAAAAGTAAACAGGTGGAGCAATAAAGGAAGAACAAGTAAATGGACGGCACTTATAATGGGACTTTCTAGTCTTCCGAACTCCCAGAGCACATTACACTACATGTCACATTCATACACCAATAGCACAGAAATTTGGGGTTCAGCATCTAAGGACAGTTTGACATGCAGCAGGAGTAGCTGGGAATCGAACCACCAACCTTCTGATTACTGGATAACCAGCTCTACTTTACTGAACCCCTGAAGGGTGGGTAGTGAGATTTTCTCAATAGTCCTTTTCCACTCAACAATCTGTATCTTTGTTTAAAAACCTTACATGTCTTTAAAAAGGCAACAGCAGAACTGTCTCTCTCATTATTAAGTGCTATTTGGTAGGTAAGTGATGGTGCGACAGAGAACAATGGAAAAACTTTTTCTTTTAAGTTTACATGAACAGAGATAAAAGTTTATACACCAGCAGGAAACCCAGGTCCTCCTGGAGCCAGCACAAGCTGCTCACTTGGTCCACTGTGCTCATTCTGATCCTTAGTTTCCTCAGTTGTTCTTGAGGTTTGTTCACTTAGAGAGCGTTTCTGCTGCCAGCCCTATCCCTCTCTACTGAGTTTGCCTTTGATAAATACAGCACAATAAACGGCTGTTAATATATGAATGGATTCTGTCCACACAAACGCTGGAGAGCTTTTAATCTCAAACAAATACCAGAGGTGTTGAGTTAAAAGAATACAGTTATATGTTTGTCTGTGACATGTTGTACAGATACAGACAGTGAAACAGAGGGAAGGGTGTGATTGTTGCTGGTACTATTTTCTATAGATGAGACCTCGACTCTCTGGTGAAGTGTCGCTGCTCTGAGGCAATGCGACTGATCTGGCAGTGTGAACCTGGTTCAACATGGTGGACCCCGCCAGAAGAAAACACAAACACAAAAACACGACGATTCTTATTTTCAGGTGATGAAAAAGTACCTATGAATATTAAATTACATTTCTGCCCATGTATAAACTTAAATGCTACACATTGGACCTTAAATGAAGACCGTCTGATATGGTTAAAGGTTCCAGAAGAGGCAGACAGCTGAACCTTGAGCAGAGACTGTTTTGCCAACATTTTTTTTTAACGGAAGATCAGCAGCTTACAAAACAGGTTTGTCTGGTGGACTGTGTTTAATGCAAATAAATGCATTTCATCTGTGAACAGCACTGTTTAAAAATCCTCATAAATCCCGACTATGTACATTAAAATGTTCCACTGTTACTGAGAATCATCAGTCTAACAGAACAGAGCTGAAGTCTAAACACCTCGGGGCTTTCTGAGCAGCATCTCTGAGACGTCCTGATCAACCCTTGCCTCATTATAACCCTATTAAACCTGGATATATGGGCCGTGTCCACACACACACACACACACACACACACACACACACACAGAGAACCGACATGGTATGTTCCCGTCCAGCTGAAACACTTCCAGAGGTCTTAAGACGTCTCAAAGCCAAACTTATCCTCTCTAAAAGGCCAGGAGCGTTCCCAGAAAACTCCACACAGGAGGGATTTGTACAATAGTTCGTGTTTTATTCCTGTAGAAGCGGGGCCAGTAGGTTCGCGGCAGTATACGGGTGGTGGTGGGGGGCCATGGAGTGCCAGATCCCGAGGGGTGTAATCAACACGGCTTTGGCAGCGTGCAGATTTCTGACGGTTCCTTAAAATTGCGGCACATTAAATATTATTAAAAAGCCGCTCTGTAGCATAAAGGTAGAAGGTATTCTGGATGGAGGCCTGGGACGTTAACTGCTGCAGCGCCTGGAGCGAGCCAGGGTGAAAAATATTACACAACACTGATATGAATGACGCACTGGTACAACCACGCAAACACACACAAATATGTTACTATACTTGTGAGGACCCTCATTGATATCATGTGTTCCCTTGGTACAAACCCTAATCCCAAACAAATCACGTCTTTAATGAAAAGTTTAACATTTTAAGAAACATATTTGAGTGAGATGTTCAGATATGTTTCTCATGTCTGTGTTAAATATGGAGCTGGAGGAGATTATCTTAGCATTAAGACTGGAAGCAGGGGGGAAAGGATAGCCTGGCTTTGTCAAAAGCTCAAGAATACACCGTCCAACACCTCAGCAGCTCACTGATCATTGACATGTTGTATCTCGCCTGTTTAACTTTAAGAAATGTAAAAATGACAAGCTGTGGCATTAGAGGGAGCTACGTGCTGGAACTCTCTCGTTGAACAACAGTCGGTGCAGCTTCCAGCGAGGTTGCCATATCTGGTGCCATCATCCCCGCACAAAACCAAAGTCAAATGTATCTGGCAACCCACACTGTGGCCGGAGAAGGATTGGGCCGATGGTTACACTGTTGTTTTCTAAAAAAAAGAGTTGCTGTGGCATAGAGAATAAAGACTCGTGAATTTCATGCTAGATAAACATTGCAGCACCAGGCCAGAGGTCAATCTGTCCACGGAGATTTGACCCCACAGATGACAAGAAGTTCATCTTGGAAGTGGAGAAACACTCCTTTTGGTTCCCTTTTTAAGGACAAAATACACAAGTCAACAAAGTGGTGGAGACAAAAGCCTCTAAAGACACTGCGCTTCTGAAAAGCTCTCAGTGGGTTTTGAAGATGCACGTATGACGGAGCCAAACCGCATCGCATTTTGCTGAGACCCCGCCCCCTTTGTCTGTTGCTGTACATGTTAAACAAACAGCAGTGAGCTTTGCAGGTGTTGGTAGGTGTATTTTTAACTTAAAACAGGTCCAGACTGTTTCCCCCTGCTTCCAGTCTTAATGCTAAGCTAGGCTAACCACATCCCGACCTCAGATCTGTACTTAAATGTCCATTGTGTAGGATTTAATGGTAGTGGAAGCAATGAAACTGCCAATTGTAACCAACTGAATACAGCTCAGCCTTCCAAGAGTGTAGGAGAAACTACGCTGGCCACAAACTCAAAAAAAGGGTGAAAGGTCCGATCTAGAGCCAGTGTTTGGTTTGTCCGTTCTGGGCTACTGTAGAAACATAACTTCTTAAAAAGGTTCTTGTAAAAGACCACGTAATTAATTATTGGCACACTTCCTCTAGAGTCTTTTAGTCAGTGAACAGCAGGTTAGATTAATAAAACACTAACACTGACTTGCTGTCTGTCAGTTTTTAAAGTCATTACGAGTTTTTACGGAGATCAAATAACTAACTTTATCATTTCTTGGTAGATTTGTAGGTGTTTCCTCAGAATATTCTCTATATTTTATATCATTAGCACCAAATTACAGAGTTCTTTTAAGGAAATGTCCTAGGAAAATATACAGCAATTACACAACCTGTAAAATTAAGACCCGAAAACACACACACATACACACACCCAATAAAGGGGTGGTGGCTGTTACTAACACACTCAGTCATTCATGGACTCATAGGGCCAACTGACTGTTGCTCCTACAAACAGCTCATTAGTCAACAACACAGGAGCTTGTATCAGGATCGGATGATAAAACTAATGAGATGTTTGTATGTTTTTTCCTGGAAAAATAAACCAGTAAACGAGACACAGAAAACCTTGATTAGAGAACTTAAAACAAAGAAAAGGACTTACCCATCATAGGTCCGATGCTCTTGGGCCGGGCCCGTTTCTCCGCACCACAGTGCCTGAAACAAGAAACATCCATCAGCCCAGTTCCCTCAGAGTCTTCTCCAGCAGCCACACACTGTCCCTTAACCTCCAGATTTAAGGTAATTACCTATGTGCCCACCTTTGCCCTACCTGTCTGTGTCCTGTCTGCCCCACATGTCACTGAAAGTGTGGTAAATTCTCACAGAGGGTCAAAAATAGTGTCGGATGAGCAGAGCTGAAGGAGGGTGGGAGGGAGCTTCCCACTGACATGTCAGAGACAGCAGACACACTCACACGCTGGTGGTGGAAACTGAGTCAGCGCATGCTTCAGGTCACACAGCCATCACTCAGCAGCTGAGAGACACTAAACAAAGACGGAGAGTGGAAGAATCCGTGAAACCCTTCCACCAACTGGTCAGCGCTCACAAATGAAACCCTCTCTCAGCTCTCCGAGAGTATCTGACTCACATTAATTGTTAGTTTGCTTAATGAAAAGGCTCCACTGGTTGGTAAAAGTGACGTGTTGTGGTTCTCCTGTAATACATTCTTACCTAAGAGAGTAAAAAAAGACTGTTTTGGCTTCTGAGGTTCCCTCTCAAAGTGGCTTAAAGTTGTTCGTCAGGAGGACTTATTTTAGGATCAGAGGAACGTGGGCTGGATTTCCTCCCCATTAGCACATCCTCTGAGTGTTTCATGAATAATCAATGAGCAAAATTGAGTCAAAGCAAATCTCGAGCTGTGAAAAGACCTCTTATTAACTAAAGTGAAGATCAGGCTGACGGGGGGGGAGGGGGGCTTCACGTCAGGGTGAGAATGTAATGAGCCTAAATTATCTCTGAATAACACAGGAATCAATGAGTGTAACATCTTGACCACCCAGGTGTGTGTGTGTGTGTGTGTGTGTGTGTGTGTGTGTGTGTGTGTGTGTGGACCTCAGTGCCTGAACTAATGAGACTTGGTGGTGACAGCTGGAGGAGCAGAGGGTGGCAGAAGATGTGTCCTGGGTGACGATAGAAGCGGAGTAGACGACAGTAAAGGCCTCCAGCAGCTGTGAGAACAACATTTGTGCTTGTGTGTCGTCGCTCGTCATCAAACCTCTTCTCCCTGTTAACTAACATCTCCACTAACTGATGCAACGAACGCTCGCGAGGCGCAACACACTCCTAACCCACTGCAGGCCGGGGTGTCTGAGAGCCATAACTGCCACACATTGAGCAGACAGAGAGCATAAACCCCTGATTTTACCCTTAAAAGTCCCATTAAAGTGCATTTTATTACACATTGACACAGCATCTGTATCTGTATTCACTGACACTGTATGTAGATATGGGCGATAAATCAGTTCAATATTGGGGGTGTAAATATAGTTTCTTGCAGGACCAGTGTGTATTTAGTGGCATTGAGCAACTTCCAAGTGTGTAGGAGAAACTACGGTGGCACAAAGGTCCCAATCTAGAGTCAGTGTTTGGTTTGTACATTGTACTGTAGAAACATGGCAGACAACTCTTATTTTCAGTTTACACTAATGAAAACATCCCTATGAATATTATATTATATTTCTGACAATAGATCCTCCTAAATGTTACACACCATTCAAACCAAACAAATATACTTTTCAAATAGGCTAATACAGTGTTTCCCAACATTTTAAGGAACAAACCTCTTTTCATTTAGTAAACTGTACAATGAACCCACTCCGAACTCAGTTACTGCCAGAAGTTTGTGTAAAAACGAGTGATTTGACTGAATTTTGAGCAGATTGTTTCCTGTTTAGGAAACTTTTTAATACAATTTTCTTTCTGTATTATGTGTTTTTTTTTAATTTTGTTTAACATTCATACAGATTTAATAGGCTTCTTATAGACAAATTAATTATTTTCTTGTCCTGTGAACTTGACCATTCTTCTATTAGACAATTTACTTTTCCTTCCAGAAGTGAACCAGACACTGAGATATAAGCCTACTGTGTATATTTTTTAAGTTTCCTTGAACCCCTTAAAATCAAGAAGGCCTTGTGACTCCCTATGAAGCTTAGGTGACCCCTAATGGGCGTCCCAACCCTAAGTTGATAACCACTGGGCTAGTAAACACATACTCTAATTCATCATGACCTTTTACATAATATATACACACATATTTACATCCCAGGGAGGAAATAAGTAAGGCTTACAAAACCTACTTAACATACATTTGTGGAAGCTTTTCTTTCAAAATAAAAGTCAGAGACCAGATAGCTAAAGCATTTTAAAAAGTATTCTTTTTACCACACAGTCCAAGACCCAGTCAGAACAGGTTGCAACCCACCAGTTGAGAAGTCAGGCGGTAGAACAGTGGTTCCTAAGCTGGGGGTCTCAAGGCCTTCTTGATTTTAAGGGGTGTAATAAAACTTTTAAAGTATACACAGTAGGCCGATATCTCAGCATTTCATTCATTTCTGTGAAGAAAACTGGATAAAATTGTTATTTTTAGGTCTTAAGATTTTAAAGACCTGAACACAAGCTATATTCACAGAGAATTTACTGTTACTGTCTAACAGCCTTGTTTGGTCGAGTGTCAGGGAGAAGAAAACACTGAATTTGTCAAAAGAAATAATCCTAAAAATAAAAAAAACAAAACATAATACAGACAGAAAAGTTCCTAAAAATATCAGGAAAACTATTCTCTGATGTAAAACTCACAGAACATTTATATAATGTGAAATATCCATAAAGTCACTTACTCAATGATGAGGTTGGGAACCACTGAGCTAGAATATTTCCATCTGATGGAATGATGTATCCAAGTCTTAAATTTAAATATTTCACTATTTCAACATCACACAGCCTCCACAAAGAGCTGTAAGTGGATGATACACAATACATATGATACTGTCAGACAGTGTTGAGTTAAACACAGTAACTAAACATATTAAACACCACATAATGGACCCACTGCTGTGTCTGAAATGACAGTACTGAACACAGATAATCCAGGTGTTTGCTTTGAAATGACTGAAATTAGCTCAGCCAATAGCTGCCTATCATCCAGGGACACCAGACCTCCTTATGTAACAGCAGCACAAAGGTCCTCTCTTCAGTGGAAGGCAAGGCATACTTTTCACTTATTTATCTGCATTCACTGCAGAGGAGAGGCTTTTCTGTTCACATTACAGTTATGAATGCACACCCACATGCAAAGAAAACCACAAACACCACACCGACCCCCATGACTCATCACAACAGCTGCTACCATCCAAAAAGCCTTACCTTCCTCTATAAAGATATCCACTCATTTTTCAGCTGCACAAACACAAATCAGATTCCAGCTGCTCCAACAGCAGCTCTCCCAGTATCTCCTCAGGTGAGTCGGGGTCCTCACAGACTTGAACACATCCGAGCTCAGACGCGGCCAAAATCCCAGCCAGGGAAGTGGAGCAGTGAGCCGGCAGGAATCTTCCAGCCAGTACAGTTTCTGACTCTTCAGACCCGGAGCAGAGTGACCACAGTCAGGCTGTTTGGCCGCGAGGCTCCCGGAGCAGCGAGCCAAGCACCCAGGCAGTCATTTGACGTGGCAGAGAGCAGCAGCAGAGCGAGAGAGGAGGTAAACACCAGTGGGGAGCAAAGGTACACACAGACCGCCTGGTTCAGCATGAAAGAGTGATCTGTTTCAGCATGCTCCAAAACAGACGCTTCTCTAGGTGTGTGTGTGTGTGTGTGTGTGTGTGTGTGTGTGTGTGTGTGTGTGTGTGTGTGTGTGTGTGTGTGTGTGTGTGTGTGTCAGCATGTGCTCAAACCACACCAACGTCTTCCTGCCATTGCTTGTAAAACAGTCACTGAACTGTCAATTGGCTATTTGCCTCTGGTATTTTTTGAAGTCAGGGTGGAGCACAAGAAAGGCACCCATATAGGAGTGTGTGTGTGTGTGTTGGTTTATGCATCCCCTCCTCCCCCTCCAGGTGTGTATGTGACAAGTTGGAGCAGGCTTCCAGCAGGTAAAACAAGGTATGAAGCCAGACACTAATCTCCTCCAACAAAAAAAAGCCCACACCGGGCTGCTTTACATTTCTGCCTGCAGGTCCACCACACACACACACACACACACACACACACACACACACACACACACACACACACACACACACACACACACACACACACACACACTTTGTTAGAAAACCATATTAACTGAGTTTATTATCACTCCATAGAAACACAGTTGAAAAGACAAACAGTGCAGCTGTATTGAGCAGATTCGAACAGACAAGCAGCACATTCAGGCTGCTGGATGGAGCTCGGGATCAAAGGGGGACCGCAGCGGTCCGAGGTCTGGATCAACGTCCATGAAATTCCTCCTCAGTGCTTCTCCAAACAGGAGGGTGTGGCCTTCTGGAGAGTGTACAGTCTGTGCACGTTCTGGAAAAAAACCCTCATTTAAGTTGAACCTAAGAGACCTCACTGGTACAGGCCTTTATTTGAGACAAATACAGGCCTCTTTAAATATGATGTTTTTGATCATATTCTAGTCAGACATTTGCTTTCTCACCTACTAACATTTTATTTGACTGCTGCTTTTTGCTGTTACGAGTTCTGGTTCAGAATCCAGCTGTTCGGGGCACAAAATCCCTTCAATTCCCTGTAAGGCTTTTATTTTGAAACATCTACAAGAACTGTAGAACAGCTTAACACTTACACAAAAGGTCTTTATAATAATAGTATAACTGAATGGAATTTACATGACATGTGTGATTTATTTATTATCACAATATCAAATCATGCTGATTTATAATTAGTTACTGAGGTACTACTTCACTTCACAAGTACAATATGATTTACATTATTTAATACATTTTTAGATTTTAAATAGACTGTTTCGCACTTAGTCCCATTATATAACTTCTCTACCTTAAAAGAACAGCTTTACAATCATTTAATGGTACACTGAGTTGAACTAAGGTGGATGGTGCCTCTGTATGTCTGTTGTTGCACTCTGTAACTTTGGGCTATGGTTTGGTCCTTTAAGATGACCGCTAGGTTAGTTAGCTCAGTCTGTGCCGAGCTCAAAGCACCGGGGGACAGTTGCTATATTTACCGCTAGCAAATGAGCTTTAGACTGCTGTGAGGAGGAGGGACGGGTGGGATGCTGATAGAGAGTGGCACCGGCACTGGAACTGGGGGCAATGCAAAGCTTAGCAGCCTGTACGGACACGGCGGAGACATCCGAGAGGACGTTGACGGAGAAAGAATTCGCCGGTACAACTCAGAATACACCGCCTGCAAACGCACAACAAAATAAGAAAATACAAGCAGACGGCTGCAGATACAGACACCGCTGCACATTGATTGAGACAGAATATGTTTGTACAAGTCTATAGTTCTAGGAAGACCCTGCACTGTGTGTCTTTAAACAGATCCTTTCAGATATGAACTTGCAATGTCAGATTAAAACAGACATGAGACTGCGGTATGGCCCTTTAAATAACTAGAACTGGATGTTTCTGAACACCTGCAGCAAGGGGGAGTAAAGTTCTTACAAAATACATTCCAGATTCAGGACTTTGTATAACCTGGAGTCAAACAGATACATGCACTGTTGGCTCACGTTGATCTTCAAGGAATCTCTCTCCCTCCCCTTTCCCTGTCCTCTTCCATCTTTCAGCCAGTATCCTCACATACCTGCCTCACATTCCACACATGCAGCCAGTTCTTCATCCCGCAGAGGGGGCTGAGGGGCTGCAGGCACGCAGGCTGAGCCGGCCTGACGCCCTGCAGGTCTGACCAGGGGTGGAGTTGGACTGGGGGGCCTAAACCCTCAGCCAAATATGTTATGCAATCAGCCCACACAACAAGCCTTCATTTACTGCTCGGTTCACTTGGAGCTCTTTGGTGTTGCATCTTTTAGGCTGAAGTGTTTGTAACTCGCAGACTTCTGCAACCTGTGACCAGGTGTCCAATAACCAACAAGCAGCCAGTGTCAGACAACTTTATCATATGTAACTGTGTCTGTATAAATATACACAGCAGTTTATAAAGCTCCCTGTGCTCTCCTTATGTGTCTGTAACAACACGTAACTCTAGAAACTCGAGCTAAAGGCCGCTATATGTCCACAGTCTGACCTTTTATACATAAAGATAGACTGTATTCACTACAAACTTTACATTTTGTCTCCTCAACTGGCTCAGACAGTTGTAGCTGATATACGCTGATTCATAGCACAGTTAATTCACTGTCTATCAGTGTGTGTCAGTATATTACTAATTAAACCCTCATTAGTGTTCGCATTGTATCACTAAGGCAGGCAGGAGTCAATTTTAAGTTAATTTGAGGTTACAGATCAAAGGTAAGAAAGGTTGTTATGCTCAGTGTCTTTTATAAATCTATAAGCACACCATCAGATCTTAAGACTAAGTTCAAGTATAAATCTAAATCCCAGGTCAGTTAGTTCAGGATCCAGCTTGTTGTGACAGCTTGATGTTCATCACAAAGTGAACCAAGATGATGTTAGAGGGTTGTTATTGTGGTTTGAGGTGGCGACAGGCCGTCCTATCAGCTCTCTGGCTGAGTGAGGGAGGGCGGGAGTTACAGTAAGAGAAGAAAAGGAAAACAGTGAGGAGACAGACATGAAATGAGGGAGAAGAGGGGGAGTTTGCTGACAGTAAATTTCATCCCGTAATTATCCTAATCACACCTTTCCTCCCCTCCTCCCTCCTTCTTTTCCTCACCTCCTCCCAAACGCTCACTAAAGCTCCATCACCTAAACCTTCAACTTCAGACTAAAACCTAAATAAATAATAAAGCTGCACACGCTGGTAAATCTGGACTTTAACTACAAAGAACTGTGAGTTTAAAAAAGTTACATAACCTCACACAATTGACACAGTTGACAACCTACGACATTATGGAACATTATACACAAAGTTACATCACAACAATTAAAGCAAATTCAACCAATTCATGTGAATTCTGCTCAACATAACAATTCTTTCCAATCACCTCAATTCATTTACCCTCCAAACTGTTTATTCTCACCAGAACAAGTTGCCATTCATTTTTATTTAATTTCACTTTCTTATGCAAATTCATTGCAAAATCAGAATATTTGAGAAAATCAGACATATTAAGCTGCAACAATCCTGAAAACTCAGAGGTATTCATAAGTTTGAATTCATTAGTATATAATCACCTGGAAATAAGAATGGTTGTGTTTTTGTTACCTTAGAATGAGCTGTGTGTCTGAAAGGAGCCAGTGCTCACCGGCACTCAGTACTGGTGCAACTCAACTCTAATCAGCACTTTTTTATTTAGGAATTCAAACCTCAGTGTTTGTTCTGGTCTGTGGGAGGTTGTATTTACAACCACTGCAGCCGCAGTCAAATGTGTGAAACTTTCAAACTCCCAAACCAAGAAATCACAAAAAGATCACTCTCATGATTAGCAACCAAGCTGTTCTCTGATCAGCTAACACCAAAAGGATCACAGGGGATGAGTCCGGCTTTCTCTGGACGGAGCGACTTCTGTCAGTTTCACATTTGACCCAGGAGTTTTGATCCTTGTGGTGGAGAAGATTTGAGAAACCGCACCCGACATCAGAAACTCATTTGAGTAAATCTACAACATCTGACGTATTCGTTCCGTCGAACAACTTTCTCTGTTGCAGCACTGCTAGTTCTGTGGTTCTGACAAAGACAGGTGCTTCTTTACATAATCTCGCCTGGAGCCACTTCATGTTATTCAGAATTCAACAGGAGGTTTTGAGGTACTTTCTCACTCTTTGTCTGTGCAGAATGAGGCCTCCTCACTCTCTCGGATCAGATCCAGGACCTGCGTGCCCTCCCTCTGTTATAACTGTCTAATTAACTCGGCCGTTTCTGTACGAGCTGTCGATGAGTATCTCCCAGAATGTGTGCAGCGTTTACGAGGCCAAAAGGCTGTCAGAGGGAGCTGGACCGGGTTTCCAACAGCACGGCCAGAAACATGCAGCAAACGTCACGCTGCTGTAATGCTAATCTAACAGAAACGTGATAATTTCAATGTAAAAAGCTGCAAAATGTACATCCAAACACAAACACACGGGTTCAGTGTGAGCATGTGGCCATTATTATTACCCTGCAGATGTTTCCACTAAAATCCAGTCAACAGTCAGAAGCATTTATTATTAATAAGCGTCAACGCCAACCCCCATCCATGGCTCATATTACCAAACACCACTTTTACAAATAATCAATAACTCCCTGTGATGTTTTGGCTCAGATAATAACAATAATGCTTAACAGCAGTGAAAGCAGAAATACCACTGTGGGGGGAAAAAAAAAATATATATATATATATATATATATATATATATATAGATATATATATATATATATATATAGGATACACACATACTGATACTGAATGAGCTTAGAGCAGCTGCTGTCAGACTCAGCCTTTACAGTCACTAGAAGCACATTCACGCTGTTTGTAAAAGTTTCTGTGTGCTACCAGTTTGTAGCTGAGCTAGCGGCTGTGCTAAGCTAAGAGGCTGGGGGAGGATGGGGGAGGATGGGGGAGGTGGGACGCCCTCCAATGATTAAAGTAAATGAACTCTGTTTCAGCACTGGACGTAAAATGCACAGGGTGATTTACAAGAGAAAAGGCTTCATTACCTCAGCTTTAAAGTGATAATAAAAGCTGTGTTTTCTTTAAGCTGAGCCTATAATTTGAAATCACAAGCATAAAATAGCATCTGCTT